ATATATATATATATGTATGTATGTATCATGAGCACATGTGCCCTATAGCAAATTAAAATAAAATTAATAATGATAAATCAAATTAAGTAAATAATTTTTAAGGGAGTTCATATTCATTAATCAGTTAATCATTCATTCAATTCACTAATGTTACTTTTTAGAATATACTTAAAAAAACAATTAAAAATTATTACATTTATTTATATGCAAAGATATACATGTGTGAAATATTAGAAAATGCCTATTTGATAACTGTAGATGATTGATTTACTTATTTATAATATGTCACTCAGTAGACTATTATGTAGCCATTAGAAGTTATATTTCTGAAGCTATTTTGTTAGTTGAAGAGATGTTTACACTATATTATGTGGGAAATAGCAAAATTGTAGTATGGATTCAATTATCAGTATGGATGCATACTATATACATTAAAATAATCACTGGAAAATTACATACAGTTAAATGTTGTTAGGAGTTTTTTCTGAGTTGTAAAATTATAAATGCTTAATTTACTTATTTGGATATTCCAATGATTTTTTTCAATACAACCAACATGTATTACTTTTAAAATCAGACAAAGGCAGAAAATATATTGTAGGTAGATTCTCCCTGTTGCTGCAAGATCCCTGTGAGAGGTATACACATTCCCCTTTCCTTCCTTCTTCCACCTCTGTTGCCATAATTCCAAGAGTCTTACCCTAACCCCAACCACAAAGTGATATGCATATGACTGGCCATTTCTAGGAGCACACTATGAAGAGGAGGCCACTCTCCAGCATAGCTGGAGAGACCCTTGCCTTTTCCTCTGGCAGTGCAGAGAGGTAACACTCATGAACATCCTCCATCCTTTCAACACGTACTTACTACGTCCCTGCTGTTGTGGTGTCAGGCACGGCGTATACCATGAGGCCCAAGCTAAGAATCTAAGAATGCTCTGAGAAGTCTCCCCACCCGCAGCACATTCTCTTCTTTTGTTTTCTGGGGGGGGGGGGGACGGGGGA